AAGTGTATTGTTATGCTTGTATGTTATCCTGTTTTCTTCTTTTGTATCGCCCACACCTGCTCAAAGCCTGGCACCCAGGCTAGCAGTAACCTATAAATAAATAAATAAAACGAACGATCACGGAAGCGCTACCTCAAGAACTACGCCGAAGCCGCCGACTGGCTGGTCTACCACCGCTCTCTACGGATCCGATTGCTGACGGCGACACCACGCACTCTTCGTCTGGCGCTGCGTGGCCCCAACACATGGTACCACGAAGCTTCTCTGGGAGGGTCAGAGAAGACGTCGACGAATGGCTGAAACACTTCAACCATGTGAGTAAATACAACTGTTGGGATGCGGCCTCCCGGTTGTCCAAAGTCGGATTGTTTCTTCAAGAGACGGCGTTGGTGTGGTTTGAAAACCACGAAGAAACAATAACGACCTGGGAAGCGTTTGAGAAAGAAATAGCGACCTGCTTCGGGGACCCATTGATGAAGAAGAAGTGCGCCGAGCAAACTTTGATGCAGCGTGCTCAAGTCCCCGGTGAAACATGCACAACATACATTGAAGAGATTCTGAAATTGTGCAAGTCTGTAGACCCACGCATGAAGGAAGATGACAAGGTAGGGCATCTTCTCAAAGGGGTTGCTGAGGATGTCTACAATTTCCTCATCGGCAAGGACACCTTGGCGTCTGTAGCGGACGTAATACAACACTGCCGCACGTTTGAGACCCTGAAGGCTAGGTGCATCACTCCCAAATTTGGTAGACTTGCCAACGTCACCACCGTTGCAAGTGTCGACGTCCCTCCAACATCCTTCTGTGATCTTGCCTCAATGATCAGGCAAATCGTACGTGAAGAACTTGGACGACGTGATGCTGTCAACCCGCCGAGAGCACCTGCTATCAACACCTCCCCGCCATACGACGCAATGTCTGCTGCCGTTGATGCCATGCTATATGATGTGCCCCAATCAAGAGCACCAGAGCCCCCAACCGACAACTTACATCATCGCCGTGGTTTCCAGAACGCCTCCCGTCAACCACCTACAATGGTGTCTTCGTAAGACGATCATCGGCACATGGCGCCTCGTGGAAGGTTTGGCGACGTGCATGAGGCCCCTGTGTGCTATAACTGCGGTTACCGTGGACATGTGGCTCGATTCTGTGGTCAAAGGCGTCGCCCCCAGCAGCGCTACTACGAGGGATCATCAGCTTCTTCTCGACAAAACCGCTGGCGCGGTGGTATGCGTTCAATGCAGGAAGCGTACGTTGGGGATGGCTTCCAGCAAACGACTCGCAGTGATACACATGTAGGACGCAATTTCCACCGGAATTCACGCAACTACTCGCCTTCCTCCGTGCGAAGCTTGACGCCCCCCCAGTATCGTAGCAATACTCAGTATCGAGGGCATCATCTGCAAAGGGGGAATTGCTACGATACTGAGGGGGCGTGTGGAAGAAGAAGAGAACGAGGTTGGCACGAGCGGTGATCGGCCAGATCCCTGAACTCTCACATTCATCATCTCCTAAAAATAAGGGCATCGCACCGTAACAAGATTTCAATGATTAGCAGTTACATAATAAGCTGCCACAGTGGTCTAGTGGTATGGTGCTTGGCTGCCGACCCGCAGTTGCGGGATCAAATACTGGCCGCCGCGGCCGCATTTCCAGTGGACGTAAAATTGCTCGAGGCTTGTGTACATTTAAATTTAGGTGCATGTTAAAGAACCCCAGGTGGTCGAAATTTCAGCCGCCCTCCACCGCAGCATCTCTCTCAATCATATTGTGGGCTTGAGACTAGAACTTCAGGAATTACTAGAAACTACCTAATAAAGCCTCAACAACCTAACAGAGAAGTGATCCCCTCAGTCTACTCCCATTTTCTTTAGCTTTGGTTGGTATTAGCTTGGATATTACAACTAGACGAAGACTCCAGGATTAGAGCATATGTGTGCCGAAGTATCACAAATCAAATTAGGATGTTTTCAATTCACTAAATACACTGCGTGTTACCGTGCGAGTTACGTCTGCATCTCTGAATAATCTAAATGATTTCACAGAATTATGCTTTTTTTAACATTACATGAATCTAATAGTCATAAGCATTCACTTACAGGGCCCCTAAACCCCCTCCGATATTTTTCAAACATTTCAAGTGAACACGCGCATCGTGTGCAGAATGCTGTCACGATCAATGATCACAAGTGACAGCATACGCTACAAGCCGCCGGCGCGCCGCAAATTTAAAGAAAACAATCCCCCCCTCCTGTCCAAGCCTTTTCGTCTCCATGTGACGTGCTGTGCATTCCTGCTGCAATTGGTTGAGTAGCTGGTCGTGCAACAAAAGGAGGCAGCGGTAAAAAAAACTTGCATGATGGGTGGAAAAGAACCCGGAGGAGTGCTCATTGAGAGGGCAAAGCGGCTTTGAGAGAGAGGATACCAAAGGAGGATAGTGAAGGAAAGAGCGAAAGCAGTGATCACTGTTTGAAAGAGCGAAAGCAGTGATCACTTCTCTATCATCACACCATTTTGAAAAATTTTGACGGCTCTGTGTTCGTTGTACACTTGCGCACAACTTATCGCCACAACTGAATTTCGACCTCTGGGTGGTTGAGGGGCCCTTTATTATATTAAGAAAATGATACTGCCGCAAGCACAATGGTTTCGGAAATGTTGAGATATGTTTTTAACGTAGCTTATGGCATGAAAAAAAAAAAAACACACAGGAGAGAAGGACAAGCGTAGCTTATGGCGCTTTTTTTTTTTTCGCGCCATAAGCTACGTTAAAAACGAACCAACTTGCCCAACAAGTCACTCTGTTGAGATATGTCCGGTTACTCAAACCACATCTACAGATTTCTTCGTAACAGTCGTTGGGGATTATGTAGTTATACCCTGATTTGCGTGAAATGCTGGGTGATCTATCACCGCGTCACAAGGGGTAATGTTCACTTCACGTGGGAGCACCGCTGCTAGCAACGATTCCAATAGAAATGGCAGAAAGTTTAAATTAACTCCTTTGATGGTGAACTCAGCGACATGGCCAAAGTAATAATAAACGTCCTTCACTTCGATAAGGTGACAACTGGTCTCGCATGTCATGTCAACCAGCAGGTAATTAACTGCAAGGAAAATTAATTTATGAGGTGGCTATATATACTAGCAGTTACAAGCGCGACAGCACCATTGCTACAATTCCGCACAAAGGCAGAATCTGACAGCAATAAGAATTTCCTCACGTAACCTCAACTGCACCTAACCTCAATAAATGTAGTTAAATGAAACTCCAAAATCATTGCAAGAGAAACATGAAACTAATCGACGTGTTGAGTGAGCTATACAGGAGAAAAGAGACACCACATCGGCGGCAGTATTATAGTGCGAGGGCATTCGAGATATTTTGCGAGACTTGATACTGCACGCGAATTTTGTGATTTACACCAGTGGTACATAGATAACTGGATTCCTCTAATACAAATAACCCTATAGAGGGGAGGAAACCCTCATATCTCATAAAGGAATCGCCCATGAGCAACTCAACCTCATGGTGTAAATATGGTGTCATGAGTCTCGAAATCACATGATTATGTGCCTGTGAGATTGTTTTATCCAAGCGTTTGCCGCACCCGTCGGAATGCGGCTGCCGTAGACCTGTTCACTCCTTTCAAGTTACCTATGACATAACACGCGATTGTGCAAAAGCAAACGTTTTATTGCTTTATCAGGAACAGTACTGCTTCTGTTTTTCGTCATTCATCTGTAGCTTGAGAAAAGCAAAAAATGAATTAAAACAGCAGAACAGCGCACGGACCGAGTGCATCATTATGCAGGCGCGCCACGGTGGGCATCGAAGAGTTCGTGCTGTGACACATCTAGGCTTCTTGCTAGGTGATGCATTCCAACTTCTCTGGGTCAATTAATTGATTCAGGTTCAGTGAGTGGGTAGAAACTTTATTGACAATCTCCGGCGGTGTTTAAGGGGGTGGGGCTACAAGCACCCCAGCCTTGGCGATGACCTCGAGTCCTTGGACATGGGCGGTTTTCTGGGCGTTTCGAACGTCCCACAATTGATCGGTGAAATCGCAACTGAGCAGATCGCCTTCGATCTTTCATCGCACCTCACGGTTTGATACTGTCATTCAGACACTTGAAGAAAGTTTTGAGTAGGAATTTTGTTTTGTAGTCATGTCGTATACTGATATACATCATCTGAATGTAAGCTGTTAAGCGTGTGGGTGCAGGTTTAATTTCAGACACGGTTGCTACAGGTGAAACGCTTTAACACTTGTGTATGTAGATTTAGATTCATCCTAAAGAATCCCAGGAGGTCAAAATTAATTTGGAGTATATATATGTGGCAAAAGTTCATCTGGAGTACGCACACATGCACAAGCACGAAGGTGTCCTTGGATCCAGTACAAGCAATATTATGAAGTGCAGAACGAAAACTTTTTATGTTTCCAACATTCCAGCCAAGGATCGACCTTCATCGGGGACAAAAACCAATGAAGGCCAGTCCCGGGCTGACAGTGTGTGTGAGGGATGGGGGGAATAAATTACATTATCACCGCCCATCATTTTACTATCATCAGGATATTCTAGGGAAGTTCGAATGGATTTATGATTTATGATCATACTGTAATAATTGGTGCTCTCAGAACACCCCCAGCAAGGTACGAGCTTTTCTCACAAAGAAATATGAGTTGAGGAAAGCAAGGGCAGAGATTCATCATAGAAAAAAGTTAGGCTTGCAGAAAGAGAGACGAGAGAACAAAATAAAAATTCTTGCCAAATAGATCGAAGCTAAATTTTGTTTCATATGAAGGAAAAACAGTGTATTACACGAAGGATGAGGGAAAGAGTGGTTCATGAGTGAAGAAATGATTAAAAAAATCTCTTTAAATGATGGATGGGAACTATACACACCAGTTCATTTTCTGGCAGACTCATATATGTTTTCCTACTGAGAGATGCTCCGCTGACTGTAGTGATCATATGCTGATGATGCAATGCAGATATGGACACAGCTGCCATGAGCCAGAGTCTGGAGCCCCGGCAGGTCTACCCGTTTCGGCGGTATGGGGATGTGACGCTGCTGCCGTTTGTCGTCGCGCAGGGCACGCACTCGGCCACTTGGACATTCAAAGCCAACATCAGCAGCCACTGCAGGCCAGACATTGTCCACCTGTGAGTGGGTCTACATGTCTCGCATGCCTGTGTTTTTGACCGTGAGGAACAATAATATATTATTGAAGGGGTGCTGACACAAAATTTCACGGCTGAGGTAACTCACAGGATCGATTCTCGTGAAAATGCATATATCATCTACCAAATCTGAACACTGATATACGAGCTTTGGAGTTTGAGTGCCCAATTCAGTGCCATGCACTGCACATTGCGACACTGGCATTATATAGGATCACCTGAAGGAGACCCCAATACTTCCACGATGTTGCCACTGTGGCTGAGCTCAAGATACGCAGCTAAACTATGACATTTAAGTTGCCATTGCGCTTTTGCGTACTTGCGTTAGTGGCAATTCGTGAGTCCTTGTACGGAGTGAATGTGTGAAAGTTTCTAGAAAGTCTTTGCCACGAGGTGACAATGATGACGACAGCTACAATATTGTGCTGCACATGCCAGATGTAAACGAGCATGCAGGCAGTGCGGAAGTTCGCTAGAAGCATTAGTGGCACATGATGGCTTGTTGCTCTTGGAGCTCTCTCAAACCGAAACCAAGACTGGTTGAAACCAAGGCTGCTAGCCGACGGTCAAAGGAAACCTGCGTTGGTGCATGTGAAACTGCTACAAAAGGCTGCAGTACTTCAGAGGAGCCTTGCCTGAGGGCCGTCGAGGTAAATGGCCATGCGACGAAGTCCATGTTCAGTGAATATCCATGTTCTCAGTTTAATACATATTTGTAGTCCTTTTCTAAAAGCTATGCGATGATGTAGCAATTATATAGGTTTGTTTTTCTTATGTTTGACTGAGCGTATGCACCAAGCTCCCAAATCATTTTTTCAAAATCATTTTTCAAAGCAACATTGATACCAGTACTTTTATATCTGTTGAGGTTCCAGACTACCTTATTAACGATAGTATTTTAGAAACTGTTTCATTCTGTATTTATTCTGCCGTAAGGTTTACCTCTAACCTCTTCTGGCACACTCGTGTCACGTATGTAACTAACTATGCCAATCGCACTTTCGGCTACCTACGAAAACACTTTTCAAGGATGCTTTCCTCTCAAAAAACTCATTTTATAGAAAACTCTTGTTCATCCAAAACTCGAGTATGCAATCGCTGTATGGGATCCTGGCACAAATACACTAGCTGAAACCTTGAAATCCGTCCAAAATCGCAGTGCATGTTTTATCCTCTCGGACTATGCACGCACATCTAGTGTATCATCTATGAAATGAGTTTTCGGCCTTCCACTTCATTGTTCATGCAGGAAAGTGCCTCGCCTTGTTGTTTTCATAAAATTTGCTGCAATTCACAAGCAAAACAATACCTTCTGTCCAAACCACATCACATGTCAAGTAAGTGGGACCATCCCCACCAAGTACATTCCTTTTTTACTTACCAAATTTTTTTCTAATTTTTTTATTCCAACTACCTCGAACAACGGAGCCACGTACTCTCCTCTATTGCTCAACTGACTGATGTCTGCATTTAAGGCTGCTGTTGAATGTGATGCTTGCTCTTAGCAGCTTTTCTTTATTTTTGCTATTTTTCTTATTACAGTGTGTACTCCTATTCACTTTCTTCTGTAATGCCTTCAGGCACTAGAGATACTAGAGGTACTGGACAAATGAAGGGCAGCCAACTACAAAACTTCTGTATGTAAAACATGGTTACAGAGGCAGATGTGATAATCTTCCCTGATGAATCATGACACTTCTAAAGTGGAGAATCATTGTGTGGGACCCAAAATGTTCCCCGGATCAAAACATTTGAGTTCAGTGATTAGTTTTGAGGCTGCGCATAAATTTAGAATTTTCACAAATCTCTCGTCCAATAGACTTTCATGCATGAATTCACATGACAATATTGTTGACACCATATGTGTGCATAAGTATGATGCTTCATGCAGCGGGATTAAAGTAAAAACATTGCTACTGAAACGGGGTTTATTGGCACAAGTAGTACTTGCACAGCAGGTATATTGATGCGGAAAGCGGGCGGCAGCAACGGACCCAGGAATCACAGCACTCGGGGCAAACGCTCGCGCTTGGCTCCTCTCGCTAAAGGCGTGACCCACTGCGGCACATAATCTTCTTCCTCTCTACAATACCCCGGTGACGAAGACGAGCCATCCTGGCAAGTCAAGGTGACGAAAGTAGGAGTGGGTCGTGATAGGGCTTGAGACGACTCACGTGGACAGTCTCACGACCAAGGCGTCGCCTGTTTGTAGATGGCGTGACCGGCTCGATCACGTATGTTACATGAGATCGATGTTCGACCACGCAATAAGGACCGTGAAACTTGGGGCCAAACTTAGAGGACAGACCTGCGGAGTGGAAGGTCAGTCGGAGCCAGACGAGTGAGCCCACGGCAAAAGTCTCGACTTGCTGGTCGCGGTCGTGGCGGTCTTTTTCTAGTGCTTGCTTGTCCGAGGTGAATGATCGGGCCATCTGACGACACTCTTCAGCGTGGTGCACAATTTCAGAGAGAGGGTTGAACTCTGAGACGTCGGGACGATATGGCAAAATGGTGTCAAGGGTGGAGCATGGCTCGCGCCCATATAAAAGAAAGAAAGGCGAGAAGCCTGTGGTTGACTGCGTCGCGGTGTTGTACGCATAAGTCACAAATGGAAGAATAACATCCCAGTTCGATTGGTCGGAATTGACAAACATGGCGAGCATGTCTCCTAGCGTTCGGTTGAAGCGCTCAGTTAGACCGTTGGTCTGCGGGTGGTAGGCTGTAGAGGTGCGGTGCACTGTGCGGCATGCCCGAAAGAGTTGTTGTACAACTTCGGATAAAAAGACACGCCTTTAATCACTCAGCAGTTCACGTGGTGCCCCATGACGCAGTACGAAGCGTCGCAAGACGAAATTGGCTACGTCTCGTGCACCAGCCGTAGGTAGTGCAGCTGTTTCAGCATACCTCGTCAGATGGTGGACCACGACAATGATCCATCGATTTCTAGTGGCAGTGTACGGAAGGGGACCATATAAATCGATTCCAACGCGGTCGAAAGGGTGCGCCGGACGCGGTAGAGGCTGTAATAATCCGGGTGAATGGGTCGCTGTCTTTCGTCGTTGGCATAATGAACAGGACCGAATGTATTTTTGTACAAAGGTGTACATACCACGCCAGTAATAACGCTGGCGGATCCGGTGATATGTTTTTAACACACCAGCGTGAGCATGTTGTGGGTCATCATGAAAATATTCACAGATATCAGATCGCATGTGGCGGGGTATAACCAAGAGCCATTTACGGCCATCCGCATGGTAGTTTCTGCAGTATAGTTGCGCATCCTGTATCTCGAAATGTGTGGCTTGGCGGCGAAGAGTGCGTGGGTTCGCAGACGATGAGGAGTCGGAAAGAATGTTGAGGAGTGATTTTATCCATGGGTCTTTCCGCTGTTCAGACGACATGCTTGAGACGGAAATGGGAACGATGGGAAAGTTGGCGTCCGAATGCAGGTCTTCGCTGGATCTCGCTGGTGATCGTGAGAGGGCGTCCGCATCAGAGTGTTTTCGTCCTGAGCGGTAGACGACACGAATGTCGAATTCTTGTAGGCGAAGAGCCCAACGTCCAAGGCGACCTGAAGGATCTTTTAGCGACGCCAACCAACAAAGTGCGTGGTGGTCTGTCACAACGTCGAAACTCTGTCCGTACAAGTAAGGACGAAACTTGCTCAATGCCCAAACAATTGCATGGCATTTTTTTTTTTTTCAGTTTTGGAGTAGTTGATTTCCGCTTTCGTGAGTGCGCGGCTTGCATATGCGACGACATACTCTGGAATACCGGGCTTTCGTTGCGCGAGTACGTATCCCAGACCAACGTCACTGGCGTCTGTGTGCACTTCAGTGGGGGCACTTGGATCGTAATGGCGTAGAATGGGTGGCGACACAAGTAGGTGGCGCAGTGTAAGGAAGGCTTCGTCACATGCCGAGGTCCAGTTAGAAAGATTAGCTGGACCATTCAGTAGTTGCGTAAGTGGGGCTATTATTGATGTAAAGTTGTGGACGAAACGGCGAAAATACGAGTACAAGCCGATGAAGCTCCCAAGTTCTTTGAGTGAAGTCGGCTTCGGAAAGTTGGCTACGGCTCGAAGTTTGTCCGCGTCGAGGCAAATTCCATCCTTTCACACAACGTGACCAAGTATAGTAAGTTGGCGAGCCCCGAAGCGGCACTTCTTTAGGTTAAGCTGGAGGTTTGCCTTAGTAAGGCACTGAAGAATTGTGCGCAGACGGTCGATGTGTGTAGGGAAATCAGGAGAAAATACGATAACATCATCAAGGTAGCATTAGCATATCTGCCATTTAAGGCCGCGTAAAACGCTGTCTATCATTCGTTCAAACGTTGCAGGTGCATTGCACAGACCGAATGGCATAACCGTGAATTCGTATAGGCCATTCGGCGTAACGAACGCTGTTTTGGGACGGTCACACTCTACCATCGGAACCTGCCAGTAACCTGAACGTAAGTCCAGCGAAGAAAAGAACTCGGCACCTTGTAGGCAATCGATAGCGTCGTCGATGCGGGGAAGAGGGTATACATCTTTCCGTGTAATTTTGTTCAGTCGCCGGTAGTCGACACAAAATCTAATCGAACCATCTTTTTTCTTCATTAGCACAACAGGTGAAGACCAGGGGCTAGAAGATGGCTCGATGACACCACGCTGAAGCATATCGTTTACGTGCTCTGCAATTACACTTCGTTCCTTGGGTGATACGTGGTAGGGGGGTTGCCGCAAAGGAGGGTGCATTCCTGTGTAGATTGTGTGAGCGACGGTGTTAGTTTGACTCAGTGCCTTTTGAGGAAGGTCAAATGAATCACGGAATTCATGCAGAAGGGTTATTAGCTGGTTCCGTTGATCCAGAGGAAGCTTGCTGTCGATGGAACGATTGAAGATATCCGAGGAGTAGTCATCCCGCGTGAAAGGAGGAGTAACAGCGTTCAGTTGAAGTTGCTGGCCAGTGTCGTAGGACTCAATAGGCACAATAGCGTTGTCATCAACAGGAAAAACATAGCCCAGTGTTTCGTGGAATCTTAAGGTGAGAGGGCATGAGCTAGGATTGCAAACGACAATTCCGGAAGTATCTTGGTGAGGTGGCAGAATGGCGTATGGCAGAGACGTACCGTGGCGGCGACTGAAAACGTCAGATGGGGAGAACACAATGGTAAAGCCGGACAATTCAGTGCGATTGACGGGGACAACGATGGCACTAAGAGGGGGAACATCTATGTCGAAAGCAACAAGAAGCTTGCCAAGGTGAGTGAGCTCATTGTCGGTAGATGACGCATCAGAAAACACAGAAAATTCCATCTGCGCGCGAGCGCAGTCAATTACGGCATGGTGGCATGACAAAAAATCCCATCCAAGTATCACGTCGTGGGAACAAGTGGCCAACACGAGAAACTCGATGTGGTACAGGACGTCCTGAATGATTACTCTCGCTGTACATGCTCCAACTAGTCGAATAGGTTGCGTGCTCGCGGTATTCAGCAAGACGTCGGAAGGCGTCGTCGTTACTTTTCGTATCGAACGGCAGAGTTTTTGACTCATCACAGATATGGCGGCACCCGTGTCAACAAGCGTAAGAATCGTAGGCCTTCAACAAACAGTTCCAGAACGTTTGTGGGGGACAGGCGAGGACTTCTACAATGTGACGATTTCGCAGTTCGTGCCTCCGGAGCTGCGGCAGTCAGTTTTCGTCTCTATGGGGTTCGGTCGGCGACGCAGCTGGGGACGGAGAATGGTAGCGGCATGGTGAGGATGAGCGACGGGGACCGAATGGTCGGTAGTCGGCAGCAGGGTGGTGGTCTAGTTCGGATGGAGACGGGTCGCGTTGCACTGATTGTCAATTGTATTGACGGGGCATTTCTCGTTGCACGTTGTACGGGGCCGGGAAAGAGTCGTCAGAGTACCTCGGACCTGCAGCCGGGCCCGTTGCGAAGCGCCGGCGACAGAAGCAGGCCACGTGACTTGGATATCCGCATGCATAACAGATTGGACGATTGTCATTTGTGTGCCAAGGGTTTCCGTTATAGCGCTGTTGTGTTGCTGGAACTGGCGTCGTTGGTACTCGTAGAGGCTAGGGAGTCAGCCGAAGTGGAGGTCATGGTGGAGTAGCAGCAACAGCAGCGTAAGTCAATGGCGCGGTGACAGGTGTTGTTTGAGAGACGGGCGGCAGTGCTTCAGAGACCTGCGCCTGTATCACCTGTCTGATGGCGGGCGCGAGACGCTCAAAAGAGGGTTCCGTTGCCGGTTGATACGACAGACACGAAAGTTGTCGGGCCACCTCCTCGCGCACATATCGTTTGATTTCTGACATGATTGTGTTGTGGTCTCCACTTAGGGTCATGCTGACCCGCAGGTCGCGGGTTCGAATCCCGGCTGCGGCGGCTGCATTTCCTATGGAGGCGGAAATGTTGTAGGCCCGTGTGCTCAGATTTGGGTGCACGTTAAAGAACCCCAGGTGGTCAAAATTTCCGGAGCCCTCCACTACGGCGTCTCTCATAATCATATGGTGGTTTTGGGACGTTAAACCCCACATATCAATCAATCATCCACTTAGGGTCAATGCCGCGAGAGTTTCGTCGGTAGCCGCTGGCCGCCGTGTCATGACCCGTTGTTTGCGCAATTCCTCGAAGCTTTGGCAAAGAGTGGCGAGTTCAGACACGGTACGGGGGGCCCTTGGCCAGCAGCATCTGGAAGGCGTCGTCATCTATCCCCTTCAAGATGTGTTTGATCTTGTCTGCCTTGATCATTAAAGGATCAAGGCACTTGCACAAGTTGAGCACATCCTCGATGTAGCTTGTGAAGCCTTCCCCCTGAAGCTGTGCGCGATCCCCGTAGACGCTGTTTGGCACGGACCTTGCGTACCTCGTGGCGACCGAATACATCGGTAATGCGTAGCTTAAAAGCACCCCAAGTGGCGAATTCCGAGTGGTGGTTGTTAAACCAGAGACTCGCTACCTCTTTCAGGTAGAAGGGTACATATTGCAGCTTCAATGTGTCGTCCCACTTGTTGCTTGCACCTACCTTTTTTAATGTCGACAGCCAATCTTCTACGTCTTGCTCATCGGTACCGTCGAAAAAATGTGGATCGCGCACGCGTAGCGCAGTGGGCACGATGACCATCGAAGGTTGGGTCATACCTTGCTGGGTGGTTTCTTCAGCCATTTCTGGGATGGCAGGTAGTTTCCTGTTGTGGAGTTCCAGGTTGAAATACCCAGCACCTCCACCACTCTGAAATGGGGCTTATTGGCACAAGCAGTACTTGCACAGCAGGTCTATTGATGCGGAAAGCGGGCGGCAGCAACGGACCCAGGAATCACAGCACTCAGGGCAAACACTCCCGCTTGGCTCCTCTCGCTAAAGGCGTGACCCACTGCGGCACATAATCTTCTTCCTCTCTACACTACTAACCTTTTCACAAGCCTTTGTAAAGGTGGATAAAAAGTGCTCAAGAAAGTTTAAGGAGTTAGGACCTTTGGTTGTAATAAGTAAATTGCACATGAGAAAGCAACTGTCTAATGAATATGTCAGAAGCTCATAAACAGTTCAAAGGGGCCATGACAGCCAATTCTCGCTCATAATCGGTGTTATGTGGGTTAATCCTTGGGTGTTCAAAAAGAAGCTACAAAATTTCATTTCTTCGATTCCCGGCTGCGGCGGCTGCATTTCCGATGGAGGCGGAAATGTTGTAGGCCCGTGTGCTCAGATTTGGGCGCACGTTAAAGAACCCCAGGTGGTCAAAATTTCCGGAGCCCTCCACTACGGCGTCTCTCATAATCATATAGTGGTTTTGGGACGTTAAACCCCACAAATCAATCAAAATTTCATTTCGCAGTCCGTGCTACTAAAAAAATTTTATTATTTTCAGCTGACAATTCAAACTTATAATGAATATTTCTATAATCACACGAGCGGCCTGAAAGTGTGACAACACTGGCGCCCTCGTGAGCCGTGTCGTAGAAAGTCGCTCGCTTTGTGAGCATCTGTATTTAGAAATTTGCTTTGTGGTCAGGTCATCATCATCATCAGCCTGACTACATCCACTGCAGGACAAAGGCCTCTCCCATGTTCCGCCAGTTAACCCGGTCCTGTGCTGCCAATTTATGCCCGCAAACTTCTTAATCTCATCTGCCCACCTAGCCTTCTGTCTCCCCTAACCCGCTTGCCTTCTCTGGGAATCCAGTTATTTACCCTTAACGACCAGCGGTTATCCTGTCTGCGCGCTACATGCCCGGACGATGTCCATTTCTTCTTCTCGATTTCAGCTATGATATCCTTAACCCCCGTTTGTTCCCTAATCCACTCTGCTCTCTTCTTGTCTCTTAAGGTTACACCTATCATTTTTATTTCCATTGCTCGCTGGGTCGTCATCAATTTAAGCTGAACCCTCTTTGTAAGTCTCCAGGTTTCTGCTCCGTAGCTAAGTACCGGCAAGATACAGCTGTTATATACCTTCCTCATGAGGGATAGTGGCAATCTACCTGTCATAATTCGAGAGTGCTTGCCAAATGTGCTCCACCCCATTCTTATTCTTCTAGTTACTTCAATCTTGTGGTTCGGCTTCGCAGTTATTACCTGCCCTAAGTAGACATAGTCTTTTACAACTTGAAGTGCACTATTAGCTGTCTCGATCAGGTCAGCTGTGTGTAAAGTGGAGCTTTTTCAGGTTTCTTCAGCTTGGCTTTGAAAATTGACGGATTTGTAGTGGCTGAAACTTGGGTAGAAGATGATGGCTCTACTCCCTCAAGAAAATGACATCACTCACATGCCATGGCAAAATGGCGGCCGATGGCAGTGTGCAGAGTGTACTGCAGACGAATTCCGGGGCTCATTTTGCGATGAAATATCACCTTCGGGTGCAAATTACAATGCACTTTCTGGAAATGCATTAAATTTGCATTGCATGATTCCAAGGCACTTAGTATTGCATTTCAAGAAAGAAAATGAAGGAATATGTTGTTATCTGTGAGTTTGAGTAAGTAATGTTAAAGGATGTAATTAACTATTTAATTATTTTACAGTCACCTTCAGTCCTTGCATAAAAATCAAGTATTAGGCCCAAATGCATGTACAGTTTTATATTTGGTTGCACTCATTTGGAACTAAGAAAGAAAAAAAAACCTACATTTGTTGTTGAACGCCCCACATTGAACGGTCATCGAACACTGTAGTGTCCCTAGCAAAGTGATCATCTGCAGCAATACGCAGCACAATGAAGTTAAGCGACTGCTGTTTGTCCACTCAGGAAGCCTGTCCACTCAGGTGCATGCTGAACTTCAAGGCATTTGAATGAACATGCTGTGTGTGATGTTTTTCTTAATTTAATGTTTACAATTGTACACACTGCCGCCTAAAGGGATATTCCTTCACCGTCCATTTTTCATATATGTGCAGGCACAATAGACCCTTTACTTCTATCTTTTGCAGAAACCCGCAAAGTGGTGGGTGACCAAGTCATGGCCACATCGATGTTTTTCCTGAAAATCATTATGTGCAACCTGTGCTTTCTTAGGTACCTTCAGTATGCAGGGCTGCCCGTGTTGAGTCCCCTGAATGCTTCTTTTCCCGATGGCTTCGTTACCAAGCGACAGCGACTGCGCAGCCTCTACTTCCCTACTGACTCGGAACTACGCTTCATCAACATCACATCGCCTGACCCCGGACAGTGGTTTGCAGCAGCGTTCACGCTAGATCATCATCAACGGATTTTGCAAAAGGCACGAAAGACTATTTTGTCAGTGCACCTGTTTATTGAGGAGAGATGTGTGTGTTAAAAAGTTTTCTTTATTATTTGGGGTAACTGAATAAAATCAAATACTATTATTCAGATTTTTTTCTGCAGATTTCGAATCAAGTAAATTTTTATCTGCATTAGAGCAAAACATGCAAGTTCTGATGGAATGTTTCTTACGGTGCTTTTTGGCGACATCTTTGTCAAACACAATAACAAAGTATGTGACAAGGCTTCCTGAGAGCTAGTCTAGCCAATAGAGTGAATTTGTTTGTTCTAATCAAACTTCGAATGCTTAACAACCAAATTCAATAATCGATGAAAACTTTTTGCTTTATACTATTTATGATTATCAAGAATTATAATTTGATAAACGACACTATAAGAAAATAAATAGCATCATCGACTAGATCAGCCTTGTAGCAATCTTGCTGCATACTTTTTGACAAAAAAAAAAAGAGTGCCGAAAATCTTCATGGGAATTATGCTAGAAACGTTTAGAAATAGCATATGTTTTGTTCGATGCAGCTGTGAAAAATATATTGTGTGTGGTTGTGCTGCCGTTCCATTATAAAAAATATACTGAGCAATTTAGAATCTGCATCAAAACCTGAATAAATGCATTAAATTTTATTTCCTTAACCCAACCATTGGAGGAAAAAACATTTTTCAAGGGCAACATCTCTGTTTAAATCGCTCTGCAAACCTGCTCACTCTCCAACATACTGCATAAAGCTCACAAATTTGGACACGCTTTGATTTTTTGAATGTTTTGTCCACTTCTAGGGAAAAAGTTTTTTTTATATATAAAAAAGTTTTCCTCATTGGTATCACTACACTCCGTTTGACGTCCATTGGTGGTGAAAGGAAGTCGGAAGGTTATATTTATTTGAAGCAAGTTTTTACAAACATGTTATGGAATCTTGTGGCAATAGTAACATTGCCGAAAAAGCCAGGGAAAACTGCACACCATTGTTTTGCACACACGTCTTTAATGTTCAAAGTATGTTGCTGCTTGTGTGTTGTCTCGCTCCACTATCCCCCCACCCATTTCCAGTGTCATATATGTACAATTTCTACAGTTTTTTTCCAATGCATACAGTGGTACATTTCAAGAAAAAAATAAGTATTGTGTTGCATTTATGCAAGTTATCATTTTAATTAAAATGAGATTAGATGCTTCATTATGCTGCTGTAGGTCATATTCCATTTTCACATAAAAAGAATGAACTCGGAAGCTTTAAGCGTGTGTGCAAATATGTTTTGGTTGCATTCACTACCGAGAAAAGAAAAAGTAATAGTACTTTTTGTTGGTTCTCTGATGCGGCACATTTAACAACCCACCGAACATTATATTGCCTTCACCAAAGTGATTGGCTACAGTCATACACAGCACACTGAGGGTAAGTCATATTGACTATGCAAAAGGTTCAATTCCTCATAATGAGTATTGTGCTCTTTTGGCCACGGGCTGACACGACTGGCGTTGCGTATGTAAACGTAGCCAAACTTGCGAAAGGGGGTATTGTCAAAAGCATGACTTGTAGCTGAAGTCGTGTTTTCAAGTATTAACCAACTAGTCTGGGAAAGGTATTGTTAAAGAAAGATGTTGGAAAAATGGGCTTATTTACAGTACCTACATAGAACAGTCAAATAAGTGAGCCTGAATAACAAGTCACAAACCCGGGATTAGCTCATCTCCTTCCCCTTTATCTGCAAGATGAGCAGTGCATGACAATATGTAACATAACAGTAGATGGATTCACTTGTGATAAAGGTGTTGCATACGTCTTGCACACAATGTCAAAATTGTTCCGTAGATGAGGTCTTGGTTTGTTCTAAGCCTCACTTGATCTCGGGGGCTCCCATTTCGTGATTTCGTGCCATATTGTAAGTTGAGTAATTTGTGGCCACTGAATTTCATGAAGTAACCTTGCTCTGCAGATGGAAGAAAAGAGTTGTTGTACATCATTTATGGGGGCATTTTTTTTTAAATTCTCAAGGCATTTGTATAAATTGTAAAATTTACATCTTCAATATATTTGTATAGTTAAATATCTTGCCTTGCCTATAATTTTTTGCATAATTTTCTCACTGTACATTTGCATAAAACCTTGTTTACGTATAATTTTGAAAAAAATTAAAAATAACTTTAAATACCCCTGATGCATGCAGGGCCTGTTTGCACCCTGTGAAGTGTACCTTTCAAGCTCGCTCACCCCATACTTGCTGGATGAGGTCGTTGACCTACTGCCCGGCCAGGCCACCACACACCATGTTGTCAAGCCTACCTACTTTAGGTGAGTGACCTGTAATGGCATCCACCTCCATCTGCTCTTGTCTGCTTTCTGTTGAAGTCCGTGATGACAGCTATGCAGCGCAACATTCCACAACATACGTTAAGCTTGTACCAACTAGATCAAAGGAGTGCTTTCTTGACCCATAATAAAACTGGGGAAAAAAAGGCTTACTTTGATTTTAACGGGATAGCGTTAGAGAGTATTCTCAGAAAGTGTGGTCGTAGTGTCGGTGGCATTAGTCTTGAGCAAAAAATTACCTTGTTTGTGACCCATAAATAGAAAAAGATGCAAATAAAAAAAATTACCTTGTTTGTGACCCATAAATAGAGAAGAATGCAAATAAAACAATTAATAACAATATTTGGGTTCGAGTGAGGATTGAGTTCAGGTCATTTAGTAACAAGCAGACAATATATCACAGAGCCACGCTATTTTGTGAAAGCACTTAGGAATAGAACACTGTATAAATATTATGTCAAAGAAGGAGTCTCTTAACGCATGTAATATTGCGTGACAGAAGAATGGAATTGCGCCAGGGGTCCAGACTTGTGAATTGCACATCGAGTGGGTGTTTTTAAGGGCTCTCTGTTTACAAAACACTCAGGCATATGTAATCATCTTGTTCAGCAAAAGCATCGACAAAGTGATAAGCTGCGTATTTGCAGTAGGAATTATGGGATACTTTGAAATGGCCAATGCCACGCGGACAGTTCTTTGTTTCCTTACAGCACGGTTGAGATATTCAGCGAGAACTGAAGCCAGGCTACCATTTGAGAAGGTAATGTGCGCAGGGTTCAATTACATTATTGTGTTCTACTCTTGAAGGCGAAGCTCAAGCGTCCTCCAAGTTTTTGATCAACTTAGTGCTAAATCAGTGAGTGGTATATGTACAGCTGGCAGCTTAATACAAACTCCCTGCTGCCTGGTCTGGACTGGCTTGTACTGAAGCCGAAGCTTCAAAGTTTACATCTGTATGTTTGCACCAGCTGGTGATAGGTGGAGCACAGCTCGACTTGACTGGTTGGCTTGTCTCTCACTGGTGTCTGACCTGTGGAGATCAATAGCTCCTATATAGTTGGAACTATTGATAGTAGAACTATTGCTTGTATCAATATCTCCAGCTATTGTCAGCTTTCATATACATACCGATGAACTTTGTGGCACTGGTGTCAGTCCAAGCAGGTTCAGGCCAGACAAACTTTGAAGCAACCTTGACGAAGCAGGATTATCAAGGCATTCCATATCAGAAGAAAAGGGGAGGGATGCATCAGCCACCCATCGAATATTCTCACTGACCAAAAGTTTCTGTATCTTTTTTCCATGCGCCACGTAACCAGCCTAGTCTACGTGGTTTTATCCCGTGTTCACATTTGTCCTCATGCGCATTGTGTTTTTTTATTTATTTTTTTTCGTGGCCTGTCAAATGTCTTATTTAATAGCATTTAGCTATTTCATGGACAACTCCTTCATGTGCTTTTCCTTTTTCATGGCTTTTAGGTCTTCCATTATTAACCTCTAGGGCGACATGTCATGTGAGCTGAGGCTGTTACAAAGGCTGATTTCATACTTCAGTAAACTCATTTGTTAGTCTGCGCTTGTTTGTCTTGTCTCACCGCTCAGTTTAACCAAATATTAGCATTTGTCATCCAACTTTCCATGCTGCTTGACAAAGTCGCAGGGCTGGCAGCTGTGAGATTTTCTTTGTAGTAGCCTTTTAACATTGCCTAAGCAAATGACATGAATGCCTGGAGGTTTTTAGTTATATGATGCAAGTCCCCGTGTATTGGATATGAGACTTTACGGCATACTGTGGTTAGTGCATTATTTTGGAAGTCCTGCACAGGAGTTGCTCAACTTGAGTCGTTCACTTCTGATGGGTGATGGTTGTTTTTTTTTAGTTTTGATGCTAAAAATGTACTTTTGCACGAGGTTTGATCCATTCGCTTGCTTTTCAAACACAAAATGATGACTTCAAGCTACATCGCTTATTTTAATATAAATTTTTGAAACGAAATTTTTACATGGAAGCTGCTTGTATCTACACAGTTTGAATCTGAGCATTTCACAGCTTGATAAAGCTCTCTTTTAGATAATAATAATTGTTGGGGATTAACGTCCCAAAACTGTGATATTATTGAGAGATGCCGTAGTGGAGAGCTCTGGAGATTTCAATCACTTGGGGTTCTTCAATTTGCGCCTGAATCTAAGTTGCATGGGCTTCAATCTCGTGACCTTTGAGTCAACAGTCGAGCACCATAACCACCATGGTGGGTCAGCCATTCTTTATGTGACAGTCATATTGGTAATCATTAATTCACTGTCCTTGTAATGAGCCATGTCTGCATTTACGGTGAAATGGGACAGCAGTAGGTGAATCAATGGAAACATAATTAGACAGCAAAAGGAGTAATTGGCAGACATTTTAAAAGCAGCCACTATAATACAAGATATATAATTTACTTATAGGTTTCGGGGTCACTTATCCTGCATTCATCTGACATATTCCGCAGTGAAAATTCAAGCAGCTCCTGGTAAGGTTGTATCATATGCAGTGTTATGTTAGCCTTTAGAACCAATAATTTGATTGAGCTTAAGTATAAATTTCAGAATGGGTACCTTATACAGGTACTTCTTGTCCTCTCAAAGGTTTGCAACATCGCGGGAGTTGTGGAGCCTGGACTTCAACATATCCGAGTGTAAATTTCAAGGCAACAGCACTGCTGACTCATGCCCATTGATTATTAGTGCCTCTGCCGAAGTTCTGCCTGCGGCGCAAGAGGACGACGGCTGTTGACGCGGAGGTTGTGCAACGGACTATCACAGTTAACTGTTCGGAGGGTGCGATCTGCGGAGGCACCATGACTCCAGCTGTGGATTCATGGAACTACATTCTAGTCCAACCAACTATAGATGATCCAGTGGAGTTCAAAATTCCTTCTCTCTCCATATGGTAAGTTTACTGATCAGTAAGATTGTTTTCTGTTTTTTGTGATTGTTCCAGTTTAAAATGAATATGCCTCTTAATGATACAAACTTGTACTTGTTTACCTTGCTACTGGCTATGCATGTTTGTGTTCATTGAGCCTAATCGCCTATCTTATTCCCTTGAGTACTTCAGCAGATTTATAAAACCCATGCATTACGGTTTCGCGTAATTCAAACTTAATTTTTGAATTCATGGTCCACTGTGACAAGTTTTGTGCTTTTACCAGGATCACTGACTTGTGTTCTTGAGCAGCTTCATTTAGAAATCAGGTGCATAGCATGCAATGCTCTGTAACAATTTCTTAATGTCAGTATCAATGTTTCAATATCAATCATCATGCCCAGTGCGCCATGCAGCACAGTCTGTAACACATTTGGTATGACACAACATAGGAGCAAGAAAATTGTTTGAAAATTATGCAGTAATGTTTTTAGGGCATAAAACAGGTTCACAAGTGTAGTGTTTTTAAATGACTGATTTAGCTTAAGTGGATTGTAAAATTTGAAATTGTTTTTATTTGCTCTCGCATCATTGCCTTGAGGGTTTGCTGCTTTTAATAATGATGTGCACAGAAAAAAAGCATGCTCGACAGGAGCATGCTTAACAGGAGCAGATCTGACAGAGTGTTTTCTAACAATGGGGAAGTTTTAGTTGGAAGAAAAAGAAGGAAAAAGAAACAGCAGCCCCATTTAAAGTGAAGCAGCCTGGCTATACTGCACATGTCGTGTGTTCCTTTCATCTGTCTTCATTTTCTGCATCGCTCAAAACGCAAAAATGTCAAGTGCACAGGATGAGGACAGAGTCTATCATTTTCTGCACTGTTTGCCATCGCAAGCAAGTTTGATTCACTGTCCCAGCGTTGCACGCTTCTTTAAGACCCACCTTAGAAGCATACATTTCAAAAAAGAGAAATACTATTTATGAAATTCAGGGCTTTTACATGCCAGTGAGAGTAGGAGGCATGCTATTTCGTAGACTTTGCATCAATTTATAGTAAAGTATGCAAACTTCCTTGTACTTTAGAAATGTGACAGGAATTGAACATTCAATCTCTAGGTCAGCAGAACAATGTCAGCCACTTGTATGCATCACATACTGCAACACATTGATAGCACATTCTGGAGCAGGTTAAGAAAAGTATTGGGCTACTCACTTCTTTACAATCTGCAGTGTTTGGCAACTGTTTTCACAAGCCATATGAGCCTGTAGCGACTGGGATATTGTTGGAAATGTCATGGCAGTCTGGCTCTCCAGAGAAATAAACAAAAGACGTAACAGTGACTGGACATGCATGAGGACGAGCAGCATTTGGCCTGCGGTTCATTAGTTAGTGTGATCATTTTTATTTATTTATAAGTCCTCCAATTTCTTTCAGGGATTTTCGCTGTGTGGGGTTACAAGTTAACAAGAACATAAAAGCGAACAGGTGAAGAAAGCCAAAGAAGGCTTAATTGTCCGTACAACATCTGAAAGCAAGAACGAAGCACTTAACGTTTCGCAGTACAAAACTAGTGAAACGTGCAAGAGTTCCGAGCATATGTGTATAATTTATGCACTGTCATTGAAGCTCGAAGAAAATAAAACTAAATATGACTGCAAAACTTTGGCATTGGTTAGCGTGTTCCAGTCATTTGTAGTTTGCAGAAAGAATGAACATTTAAAAAAATTGCTACGGGTTGCAAAGGTTGTTATCGTGAACTCATGCGTTTGTCATGCAGCGTGTTAACGTTTCTTTTGTGTTGGTGTGCATCAGACTGCAGGTCAGCGCAAACAAGCCCTGTAGCAAAGAGCCGAAGGAAGGAGAACCTGGAAATGCTAGAGAAGATGTTTAGTGCCAATGCAACCACACTTGGGACGGTTCTCCAGGAGTATCTACGAGTGCCTAAATTTCCCAGTTCTTGCTGGCCATTCCCGTGAACTTGCGGTGAGCTCACATTGTGCACTACAAGTTGTGCACCACTAAGTATATTGAGTAACGTTTGGATCTTCAGAGCAGAGTTGCCAGTTCCACTTATAAGAAGTGGACTTGGGCTTGTTTTTTCGTCGAATCACTTGTAGAATTTCCCTGCCACTTTTTGTATTTTTGGGCTTATTGGCCTTTTTTTGTGCAGATGCAGTTATTTTATTGATAATTATGTTCACCAAGCCTATATGTCGATGACTTTAAGTAGTTGAGTGATGTCAAACATACAAAGGAATCGAGTAACATTAATCATGCACTGGCAGATTTGCAGTCAACTGAATGGAGCTAATGTTAGAAAGTAAATATCTTTTGTTCATATTTGCACTGTACAAAATAATTAAAAGAATTTTTTTTCAGCTCCCCTTCGCATTTGAGTCACACATAAGAAAAGCATATTTTTCATAATGAAGAAGTTTAGTTATTTATGCTTTTGTTGGACTTCTTTGCAAAAGTCGCACCCCTTTTTTCAGGCTTCTCTTGTAATGATTATTTGCTTGTTAGTTAGGTTGCATGTGACAACTCTGCTTCAGAGCTACAAAGACACATCTGTCTTGCAGGTATGTTAGTGGGTAGTTCAAGCGAGCAGCAGTGGAATGTTTAGGAAATGTTAACTAAAGGACTTAACATACCCAAAAGCCTAAATGCAGTGTTACCTAGGTTTTAGCATATTTTTGCACTTTCCTTGTATAGTAAATGTTTGTTCTAATAAGTTCCACATTTCTTCCTAAGAGGCTGTGACATATGGCATGATAAGCCAATTGAACAAAAATAGATGACTTTTCATTGCTTCTGCGACTGATAGACGTGAAAATAGGTTTGCCGAGTCCATTCACAAAAAAATAAAATCTTAATTATGAAATGCTGGTTTTCAAGTGTTTATCGTTAAGTATGCATAGCAGTTCTAACCTGAAGCTGGACATTTCATTGAATGGTTTTCACCCGCATCTTTTGCCAGCATGTGAACATGCCTGATACATTCGAATATGGCTACCGATTGGATCCTGGACCTGACGAATCCAACTTCACTTCTGGCTTTAATGTGAGCCTGCACGAGCCGACACTCATCACATTCCGAGTGTTTCCCGTCTTGGACTCTGGTGGTACACTGTCCATAAATTTGCATCTCATCAGTCCCGAGAAGGTGAGAAAAGGAAATTTAGTTTTTTTGTGATATTGGCATACGGCTCGGAGTGCAAATTGCATTTTATTACTTTGACCTTTGCAATATGCATTTATGTGCTTTGTATGTTCTTCTAGCAGAAGAAAAATGGTATTGAGTGGGATTGCCACAGTCCACAGTTTCACTGCTTCAATGTTACCGTTATGAAAAAAAGACAATTTATCATATGGGCTTCCATACTTACGCCTTAAACCTTCTGCTCGGCATATGTATGACTGCTTTATTATTTTATAACATGCATATTTCTTTTAATGCTTGGTAGGCTGTTTTATACAACATCTGCTTCTGAGTACTGTTATTGTTGTTTAATATTTTTTCTGATTATCTAAGTGTGTCTTTTCTGGTGAATCCAAGATGATGGCACAGTATTGCTTGGTACTTAACTTCAATATATTCTGTAGTGGTTTCTATGGTACATAAGATAGTATCCAACATTCCAAATTTCCAGTAGGTCTGTGAACATGCATTTGGGCTTGTTGGTTTATGATCATAAGCAGGAAACAGTGCTGCAAGACGAGACAGAATGAAATAACACGGGCCACTTAGCTGTGAGCATTTTAAACTGTACAGATAGCTTTTTTTGAGAGACGCTTTTTTGTCTGTATTTCCTCTCAGGCACGAATTATGATAGCACTGTCTGCAAATAGACGAAATTCGCTTGGCATGGTTCTAGGGTACTTAGCATTACACTTGCAAGAAATAAAACGAAGAAATGTGTTGTTTTGTGTAAGTTCCAGTTATTATGATCATCAGAATGACTACGCGCACTGCAGGGCAAGGACATTTCCGTGATCCGGCAATGAACACAGTCTTGTGCTGTAATTTAATACTCCAGTAATAATTATTTTTCTTAATAATTCCAGTAATGTAAATGATTATCGAATTATTACGCAGTCAGTCAGCTTTAATATAATATTAGGCCCAAAATGCCTGCTCAGTGTGGTTCTTGATTGTATTCGTTTCAAGCAAAGAGATGATCTGGATCTTGGTCCTGGAGTGCAGTAAGAACGATTGTTTAACATGGCAGTATCTCTAGCAAAGTTATCCTCTGCAGCAATATGTGGCGCAATGAAGTCAACTGACCGCTTGGGAAGCCTGCATGAATGTGCACACTGGGTTACCAGCCATTTGAAGAAACACGTGATGTGGGACATGCCTCTGAAATTTATTTGTACAATTGTATACACTACCACTGAAGGGGATATTGTGTGGACCGAAAATAAATATGCGATTCAAGTTGATTTGAAGAATTACTGCTTGCACAGAGTGCGTTTCTAAATGGCTTGCACACTGAACTACAGGACGAGCACGGGACAACGAATGTGAGCCTGCGGATGGTGTTGGCGTACGGGGCGCGACCTCCACTCAAAGAGGACCAGAAGTCGTGGGAGTGGGGTAACAAGTTTCAAGTGAACACCAGCAGCGATGGCAACTACAGAACGGAGCTGCATGTTCCTTTTCCCGAGGTTGGGCTCTGGTACCTGGGGCTTTTGCCACTGTGCTATCTTGATGATAGTGGGAATTCCAGGTGAGTCTTTTAGCCTCAAGTCGGTCTAATGACACGCAAATTAGGGTTGTTGGAATAAAAAGTACTAAAAGTTAAATCAACAAGTTGTTGCAAAACAGGGGATTGCAGATGTTAAATCTGAGGATGGACAAGTAGCAAGTTTGAGATTTTAAGGAAATTTAAAGTGAGTAGTGACTTTGTCGAATAATTTCACATCGAATATTCTGAATAGTGTATATATAAGAGCACATATTACGGACTTAAACTGAACATTTCTGCCATGGCTTAACTGACATGCATATATCTTTAAGAAGTACAAACTAGGCATGTGTGAATAAATTTTTTGGTTCGAAGTGAAGTGGAAGCAACTTGAAATACAGCAGGATTTGCATAGCAGTAGTATGCAAATTATAACTAGTATAGTGCATTCTGTTTTAAAAATTACTATGCTTAGCACACATAAGTTTTTATAACATGGTTCTAAACTTTAAAAAATAAATCAGGTGAAGTTAATGTGTACATTGAACCTGGAAGTGTGACTTAGTGGCAGGGCAGATTTTCTCTGGATGGGTTAGGTTATATGTTCTCAAGTATATGTGTAATTGTTTGTTTAGAATACAGTGAACTCCCGTTAAGACGAACTCGTTTAAGACGAATTCTCGCTTATGCCGAACAACGTGAGAAGGTTTGTTTGGTTTTCCATAGACCCAATGCAAAAAAAATCCGCTTAAGACGAACAGCCTTGCACCTGCTCTTCTGCTAAGACGAACACTTTCGCGGAGACCGGGAGACCAAGGCGATTCTACAGAGGAATTATGGCAATCTTGGAGGGGCGTTCCCGCGGCTGGAGGGAAAGAAAATACAAAAGCAGCAACGGCGCGAAGCGAATTCGCGCCACGGTGGAGGGAGGGAGGCAGCGACAAAAGAATGGCCCGCTGCATCACCTGCACTTTGACCCGCAGAGCGAGCGGCAAAGCAAACAAGAAGAAAATGAGAGAGCGAGAGAGTTTTGAGATCGGCTATCGGCCGTGAAGAAGCAAGCAGGGGGAAAAGTAAAAAAACAAAATCACGACCGAGACTCCCTATTTGCGAAGAGCGCAGCTCTCATGATCAATGCCGTTTCTCAGCGGGAACATGTGAGCTCGCGTCCTACAGCCACAGCTCTCTCCACGTGGATGTTCTCCCTCTCCGCCCTCGCCATCGCTGTTGCCGCCATCGCCGAGGAAACGAGTTCTTTCTCTGCGCCGAGCCTGCGATCGCACGTTTTCTATTCCATGCGCTTTGTTTGCTTCGCTTGTCTCGTTGAAAATGGCCAGTAAGCCAACTGTACAACAAAAGCGACTCGAGCTTTCAAGGAAAGCAGAAATTTTGTCCGAAGTGAGAGCTGGCAAGCTCACGAAGACCGAGATTGCACGCAAGTTTGGAATTGCGAAGAGCACGCTAACGGGCATTGTGAAGGATAGTGCGCGGGTAACCGCTGCATTGAGCGATGGAGACTTCGCGCCGAAGCGAAAGAAGATGCGGACGGCAGCGCACAAGGGCTTGGAGGATGCTCTACTCGCATGGATCCAACGTGCTCGTAGCCTGAATCTGCCTCTGAACGGTGTAGTTCTGAAGGCAAAAGCGGAGGAAATTGCCCTACGAATGAACATCGAGTTTGCCTGCAGCGACGAATGGCTCGATCGCTTCAGAAAAAGACGATCTATTGCCGGTGAGGCCGCCGCCGTTGACGAAGTGACCTGCAACGATTGGACCTGCAACAGACGTCCATTATCGACTGGATAAAGCCGAGCAAGAGCACTTGAACGCAGTTGCCTATCAGGTTACTCCCTGAAATAAATTATTTTTGTGTCTTTTTTCTTCACTGTAAGTGTACTTGATACTTTGTTTTGAACTAAGATATTTACATGCACCTAGGTATGTAGCCAATTCTTTTTTCGAGGGTGCTGCTGATAAGACAAACATCTGATAAGACGAACAATTTTTCATGGTCCCTTCGAGTTCGTCTTAAAGGGAGTTCACTGTAGTTTGAAATTTTGAATATTCTGAATTCGTGTCTAAGTGAATGCAAATACTGCAATATTCCTCAGTCCTTGGTTAAATCTAATAGCACATGTCATCTTGCTTTTAAAAACATTAAAAGAAATGTAGATAATGTGTGGTAAAAGAAAACAAAATACAGTGCAGACCGCTTATAATGTAACTGCTTACAGTGCACAACTGGTTACATGCAGTCTTTTTTTACTCCTGTTTTTTTTTATTATTTTAACTTTCACATCCATGTAACAAAAAACTTCGCAAACACTTGTTTGGTCCCATAGCCTAACTGGCTAGTAGAGGGACCAATTGTGTGACATACCTACATACTTGCGCAAGCAGTTACACAGCGACAAAGGACATCAAACTGGATACAATGTTTAAAATAGACAAAAAAAAAGCAAAAAACACATGATTGAACTATACAAAGAAACATAGCGCAGAACATAGCTATTTATAGCACAGAATAATAATAGCACTAGAATAATACTAATCATAATAATAATAATAATAATAATACTAAATGACTATCCAAACGTATTACTTAGAAAGTTCGCATGAAGTGCATGCTTCATGGCCAATAAAAAATTTCTAGCCTCTTTCACATCAGTCGGTATCGCATTCCATATGAGAGCGCCGGGAAATTCTATGAGCCTTCGACCGTAGGCATTTCTGGCTACCGCTAAATTAAAACAGTGATTCGCTGCAGCTCTTGTACAGCGCGCGGATAACGTAAAGGTGCTGTTCACCTTCCCATAGAACCCTTGTACATGCATACCACTTACTGTGGAGTCCCCCAAAATGAGAGACTGGTTATAATCCGGTTGTCAGAAAATGTTCATAATAATCGCACTAATGAGTGCACGTTTCGGAAGAGGCACACTGTTGCACCGCTGAGGAGTGAGCGATGAAGGGGACGCGAAGTGAACAAAAAGAAAGAAAAAAATCGCGGCCTGCTACGTGGTGTTGCTCTATAAGGGAGGAGGGCGGCGTCCTCCATGACGGATAAGCCTTTGCATCAGCGCAGACGCGGCTAGACAGTGTATTAGCGTCGCTAGCAGGGCTCTGGCTGCGCGAGACTCAACATGACACCCGCAATACCTTCTGTATCACCTGTGTCTAACAGTTTCCTGTGGGAAAAAGCGTTGTTATTATGTTTGCCACAGGTAAAATGTATGCTTAGACTAGTTCCCAAATTGGAATCAACATGTTTGCACAGCACAAGAAAGCGCAGACTTAGGGAGGACACAACACAGGTGCTGCATGTTGTTTCTGTGCTGTGTCTATGTCTTCGTTTTCTTGTGCTGTGCGAATATGTTACTACAGATATTGCGTTTGCTACCTTGTCTGCAAATTTAAAACCTTTTACAGTTTTATGACGTGAGCTTTCGCTTTTTCTGCCAGTGTTACATAAGCTTGGCGGGTTTTTGTCGTTGTTGATCTCCCAGCCGCGAACGTTAACAACGCATCACGCATGCTGTTCTCTGTTCAATGCTTGAATGCGGTCTTTCTGATGCCGGATTTTCATGTCTTTACAAACTGCAAACTACCCACGACAGCTTACCAAACAGCTGGCGACGGACCTTTAACATTTGTGTCATATTAGTATTGCTGGCTCTGCCATCCCATGTTTTTACAGTGAGCCAAACTGGGTTCCCTGCGAGATGGAATCGGTGCATGTGGAACTCACCATCAATTCCACAGCCTGCTTGAACAACAAATGCGGCCTCTTTGGCCGCTGCTTCCAGTACATCAGTGGAGGGATGATCTTCAGCAGCTGCTACTGCACGTCTGGTAGGATGCTGCTTGGCATGGTGTAAAAATTGAAAGGAGAAGAATGAGCAGGGATGCTAAATAATGTTAAAGCCTTTCAGTTGAGATGGAGACGTCTTTGTCCGCAGCTTCATTGCTTTGACATAACATGTGACTTGGCACTTTGATTGAATCATCATCATGTTTCTTGCTAAAAGGCTACATACGTACTGTTCTCGTGCAGGGGCATAGTAAGAAAATTCGGGGGAGGGGGGGGGACAACACGAGCGTTTGTGTTGTCTTATCCTTCGGCTGCGTCTTTGTCCTTCTTGTGCTGTGAGTTACCGAAAAATGAACTATTACCAACTAGACCAGATTTCCCTTCTTTTCAAGGTTACTTTCTACCTGCTCCCGACACGCCACACACACTTGTTTGTAGAGGTCTTTCGTGTCTTGGCCTTCAGAAATCAATGAATAAAGTAGCCACTTAAGCTACATTTGAGCATTATGGATGGAAATAACCCCTTTTATTGTACTTGTACTGTAGGCTCAAAATTAGGGTCCTTTGTTACAGGCTACCGTGGGTGGGGGTGTACAGATAACCGTGAAGCCCGTCACTATTCGCACATGTTGACTGAACTGCTGCTGCTGACAATCAGCAATGTGTTCTTCATGCCTGCTGTGTTGCTGGCCTTCTATCGGCGCCACTTCCTTGAGGGGCTGGTCTACCTCACCACTATGTGCGCTTCTGTGGTGAGTGTTGAGACAATGAAGAAAGGACTGTGGCGAGGAGATCTTTTGGTTGAAGCACTGTCTACTGTTAGATCTGTCACATTTTGATTCTTTTTCTGCCGACTACTTCGTTACCTTGAGAGTCAAACTTTGCCTTCATTGAAGGGCATCCAGCAATTAACAAGCTGCATAGAGAGATGTCATGCAGATATGGCTTTCCTTCTGTTGCATACTGTATAGGAAAAGAAAGAATTGAGTTAGCTCTCCTACTCTGAATTTTCACGGAATACAAAGTTGACCACGTTTAAGGGGTGTTGGCATTGTGTGCCGTAGCCGCCGATGATGCTGATGACCATGAAGGACAAGTGCGTTTCAGACCACACACTCTGCCATCACTGCAAAGCATATGCGAGGTACCCACTATACGTCATGATGATGAAGATGGTGACGGTGATGATCACAGACAATGATTGGCTTGTGCAGCATATAATGTCTTGATATTCTCTACAATGCATTTCGTATGACTGAAAACAACCAACAACCACCAGGAGAACTCGCCCAGACCTAGTCTTTGCCAAGATCAGGCTAGATTGGAGTCCACAAAGCAGTAATAATAAAGGCAAAATGAAATTAAGAACTCAACACAGCATACCATTTATGACCAATAAACGTCGTGTATAACTGTACGCTGCTTGGCACTCATTTGCAGCATGAGTGGTCAATGTCATGGGTGATTTATAGTAACATCGAATGATCTCACTGCTTTGCCCTCGCGTTATGATTCACTTCGTGTATATGCTGCGATTTTTTTAAAATTACTTTGCTAAGATCAATATTGCGAGTCAAATAGAGCTGTTGGCAAAGTCATCGGCATTTTTTGTAAAACACAGATCTTTTAACTTCCATCATGGTAACATTGTGTTTCAGTGGTACTAGCTGTCTGTAGTTTTTCAGTAACTTATTCTTGACTAACTGCACTCTTTGTAAAGAGATGTGTGACCCTCTCTGTACTAAGATGACGTACCTGCCAACTTTATCGAATATTTTACCAGACTTACATATTTGTAGTGCTTCTGCATCGTAATGAATATTGCATAAAGTTTTAGTAAAAGGAACTTATACATATTGAAGAGGATGGGTACACTAAATGCCCACAATTAGTGTGCTCATTTAGTGTACCCATCCTCTTCATCTGTAGCTTATCATTATCATCATGTGTTAATCATGCATCCTCATCATTGTTGCGTATGAGCATCATCATTTTGGGTTCATCGTAGCTGTTGGCTGCCAGGTTCTCGGGCCAAGTAAAGGTCATGGAAATCAAGACCTCATAATACTCATGAAAAAAGTTTCATGTCATTGAGAGATACAGGGTGGTGCAAGATTGTAAGAAATATGTGCTAAAAGGAGTTGTGATTGAGAAGCTTTACTCTACCTACACTGGCCCCTCATAGCAGCAAAAGATGCGAATTTTCTGCGTGCACATTTGGTAATACTAGTTCTCGAAGGAATCTGTTCCGAATTTGCTACTGTATGTGTGCTGCACCTAGTTTAGATCGTATTGAAAGGTGCCATGGCACTGTCAACCAACAATTCGCAGTTTCTAGCAAAATGCAGAAGTAGACAGTGTATTGTGCCTATGCATACACGAAAAATGCAGTGTGCAAAACTATTTCAGTGCGGGAAAAAAAAAACAAAAAAAACAAGAAGTGGTCAGCTGTAGACCCCACTCACAGGCCGCAACTGCAATTTTCCATGGCGTACGTAATGTTGTGTGCTGTGTGGAGCGGAGCCATTGTCTTCTGTCCAAGTTTTAGCAAATCATAAAATTCGAAGAAAGTTAAAATGGCTGAAGATAGTTGAAACACTCGGTTGTATGTGCAGCTGACTAGGGAACAAAATGATTCACCGCAATGCAGACATTCGCACAGCGAGCGCATCGTTACATCGAGAATTGTTGGCCAACTGTGAAGCCTCTCACGTGTTTATAAAATATTCAAATATAGATTACGTGCTCTACCAAATATGCAAAACTTTCGCCAGCTTGTTTTTCAACGCACAAAGATTAGCCCCCCTCCACATACACACACATACAAAATGAATTGTGATTGAAAATTGGTTGTCATGACCTCTTTAATAAAGGTTATATTATATGTATCGAACAAAAAGTTTGATCCCAGAACCAACTTTGGTGGACACTTCTCTTGAAAAATTTCTGTTATATATTTCTTTATAATGTAATGTGTAGCTTTAAAATACAAACTATTTTATGTGTCTTTGAGGGAGCAAGGGCCTTTCAAAACTGTGAGTTACAAAGTAAATCAGCGCGTCACCATAATTTGCAATAAGAGCTGCATGCCGTGTAGCAAAAATGGATGTTCTAAACCCATCCCATTTAAACAAATGTTATGCTACGTTGAACATTCACGAGTGAGCAAATTATAACTAATCTGGCGATTTCGGCAAGTTGGTATATAGTCATCTTCCCAACTTAAATACATTTTGTGTGTGTGTGAAATAAATTATTCACATGAGAGTCAGTGCTCATGGCGCTTGTCTTCTGTTGGTGCCGCACTGCCTTTGTACACGAAAAAAAAATTAATTTCAAGGTGGGATTTCACTCGTGAATGTCTAACATACCATAAAATCGGTTCTAATGGGTTTAGAACAGCCATTTTCGTTGCACTGCACATGGTTCTCATACCACATTGTCGTGATATGCTGATTTATTTTGTAACTCACTCGGTTTTAAAAAAATCTTGCTCCCATGCAGGCAGACAGAATATTTTGCATTTTAAGAACAACACATATTAGTAGAAAATAATTTCATGTCATGAGTTAGGACGCAAATATGTATACATAAACCATAAAATTTCATAAAAACTGATCAAAAAAATTTTGTTTTTTAATTTTGTCAAGTGCCATGTTGACTTACGCATTGCACCTCACTCTTGTGTTGTGTCCATTGGATATTTGCAGATTGTAGTGTTAACATGCATGTGCTCACTGTAGTTTAGCATACGTTGTCTTCACTGCTTTCAGCTGTACCACGCATGTGATGCGGACCTGTCCCCCATCTGCATACTGAGGCCAAATGTGCTGCAGTATTGCGACTTCCTGACAGCTGTGGTGTCGCTTTGGGTGACTCTTCTCTGCCTGGCAGAGGTGTCCATGCCCTTGCGAACACTGGTGTCGACTTTCGGCACTCTGTGCATTGCCATCGCTGTTGAGAATGATCGCACGGGATTCCTGGTCATTGCACTGCCGGCTGGACTGGGCTTGACACTCGTATTTGGCTCCTGGGTATGTTTGCTAATGCAATTCTATTTAATCGTAGGGCTGATCAAAGAATAAAAAAATATTTATTGTTTAATCGGTCGATTGTGCTCTCGGAATTTTAAGTGCTAGCATTACCGTTAAGGAGTACTGAGTACCGACAGAAAATTTTGAAAGCAAGCTAACTTGTGAAATATATTTGTGTGGACCCACATGCATTGTCTATAAAATATTAATATAGCTCAGAACATATTTAAAGTCAATCTTCAAGTGTGTGTCATGCTACAGCATGTAAAGCACAGTCTTTGGTTTTTGTGTGTACAACGAACACCCACCTGCATCACAAGTTTGTGTTGGCTGCCATGATCCTGGAAAATGTTCTCTTCTAGCAGAAAAAAAAAAAAAAAATGAGGCAGACTTGCACGAGAATTCAAGGGCTGACATCCTTGCCTCGGCAGTGCATTTTGGGGAGTCGTGCATATTTGCAACCTCCCAGCGGAGATTATAGCAGCACCCAGAAAGCCTTCACTGAAAAGAGTTGTCCAAAACATGCTCATGTGAAAGCAGTTCTGTGTGCTCATGTAGCCAGCTATGTCTACATGAAAACCATACTGGGTACTGCCTCACGTGGCACTCTTCTAAACCTACACTGCGACGGGGCACTATGGAACCATCTTCAAAAAATTTAAACTGCATCTTCAACAATTTGCATGAAAAAATTGTAACAGTGGGAATTGAAGGGGGATCATAGCATGTAATCTTCGTCATTCTTTAGTTTCACAAAGATGATCAGTGAGAAACCTCTCTTGTGCTTGTTTTTGATTGTAACCCTCCGCAGGTTCGACAGTGTGTTACGCGAAGAAGCTGTTTTCCGCACCCTCGCTTCTGGCTGATAAGCTTGGCACCTGGTGCAGCACTTGGTGTTGTAGGTGCGGCTCTGTACTTGGGATTTGAAACACGCCGCAATTACGCCTATGTGCACAGTGCGTGGCATGCGCTGGTTGGCCTTTCGCTCTTCCTGGTCTTGCCCCCAAAGCGGCGGTGTCAGTGTAAGTCGCATGTCATCTTCATCCAACACTGTTGATGCTCGTATTACAGTCAGTTTAAGTTTACAGGGCAAAGTATATTTTTGCGTTGAAATAATCTTTGTAGTTTACCCCCCTTCAAGAGAAAGGGTATGTAACAGCTGCATCTTACCGGTGCTTACCTACGGAGCAGGACCCTAGAGGCTTACAAACAGGGCTCAACTTAAATTGAAGACTATGCAGTGAACAGTGGAAAGGTAAATGATTGGCGTAACCTTAAGAGACAAGAGGAGAGTAAAGTGTATCAGAAAACAAAAGGGAGTTTAAGGACATCATAGTCGAAATCAAGAAGAACGAATGGTCATAGGCAGAGTACATAGCGTGAAGGCAAGATAACCGCTGGTCATTAAGGATCACAGACTGCATTCCAAGAGACAGCAAGCTTGTGAAGGGAAGACAGAAAGTTAGGTTGGCATGAGATTATAATCAGTTAGCAGGCACAATGTGGCATGAGCAAGCGCAGAACAGGTCTGCTTGGCGGAACGTGGGAGAGGCCTTTGCCCTGCAGTTGGCGCAGTCAGGCTGATGATGATAATTTGTGCATACGTGAGAAATGATAGAAGATAAAGTCGATAGGGGTAAAGCGAAGTGAGTAAAGCCTGTGCTTTTGGCAGCCAAAAATGTTTCCTGTAGGGCTTGAAACTTGATGACAAGGCCCGTTGTTTATTTTGACCTTATTTGAAAGTGCTGTTTGTGGCTTGTGCCTGTAGGAAGTCGCGCTAAAGGGCTTTTGTTGCTCTTTCTAGCAGCAGAAATTGCAGGATGCCATATTTACTCATATAATCCTCACACTCTCATAGTTCTCGCATCCCCCACATTGACCAACAAAAATACGATTTTTTTTTTGGCGAGTATTTATCACATACCTGGAAATCGCAGCCGTAATGTCGTCTACTCCTTCCAACCACTGATGATAATAGTGCACAACAGCCTAGCACCAACTCTTAAGCAGCAAACTGTCAACACAGAACATCTATATACTATCCTTTCACTCTGATCTAATCCAAGCCAAACCAAAATGGCTTGTATGCGGTGTGTCGTGCACGCATGCGCATACATTATGTCCATTCTGCCTGTACATTATGAGGCGATTTGGATTTCAAGTTGAAAGTTATTGATAATGTACTGTCCGCAACAGGGCCGCTGGTAGACACTATGGAGTCGTCGAATTTTGTGTTTGCTACTGGTGACAGCAGCACGGGCAGCTACAAGCTGCCAAGATACGCTGGGCCTTTCGTGTGCCTAAGACTGGGATGGATGCTAAAACGTTTTTGACAGACGGTAACTGCTGAACGATTCCTTGTTAAATGGCCATCAGCCTAAGGTTGACTGTGTTAGCTGAGGTTTTGCCGGCTCCCGTTCAGTGACAAACGCCTAGGCTACGCCCACGAACTTTGCATACAGTATTCCGAAGAAATCCACTATTTGCTTTCAGCTTTTGTGTCTCAAATAAATCTTGCCTTTTGTTGAACCTGTGGTTTTATTGTTAGGTAAGTCTTTATTAGTACTTCTCAAAGTTAGTTGCTAGCATGAGAATCCTGATTTGTGGCCACTTCATTTTTTTCCCCTTTGTACGTTTTCGCTAAAACTTTTCTCACACAATTCTCGCGTCCCCAACTTTTCATCGGTCTTGCACGAAAAGAATTGCAAGGATTTGCGATTAAATACGGGGCCCTGCTGAACAGCCTAATGTTATTTATTACTATGCATAATTTTGTCTTCTTCTTTGTAATATTGAAGTAAATAGTGTGACTAAACATTGTCATCCATTTATCGGCTCATTATGGCTTTATCCTATCACGATGTGGGGCTGCCCTTGTAACACTATTTGTGGGGCACTTGCCTAGGAAATATTGTTCATATGTAAAGCACAGGAGACCTATATTAGGAGGAAAATTGCTGAAATTAACTGTGCACGAGTCTGGGCAGTTGGGGAGGGGAGTCATTCATTATTTCTTGCTTAGTACCTGAACTTTTGGTAAAATTGATAAGGTTTTGAGGGCCTTTGAGAAAATCTGCGGGGTTTTATATCATTAATAATATAAAATTAGAAATAGTAGTTGATCATAGAGACCAAAGTTGTACAAGTCTAATTTGCCCTTTTTTTTCCCTCTTCCCCTCCCTTATGCTTCTCCACCTCTCCCACTCTTCATTATAATTTCTTTTCATTGCATTTTTTTCATGGCCTTTACATCACTATGCCTAATTGACAATGTCGATTCCAATTGCCCTTTCAACCTTCTTTTCTTTTCCTTACCATTCATGCGGCAATATCCCATGTTCCCAACAATCTCTCCTCTCCCCCTTCCACTACTCTGTTACCTTCACCGGCAAAACTTCGAGCAGCAGCTGACAAGAAAGAATCGGTGAACACTTGCAGTTACGTAAGGGTGGAGGAGCTGAGCGACATGATGCCAACGCCGGAGCTGCCATCAGCTCATGCACCCTTAGTGATAGCACGGGACACATGATGAAGAGTTGGGAAGGCGCCATTCGTCCAAGTCAGAGGTGGCTGCCAACTTGACGGCCTTATGCTTTGAAGTGCAATTCGTTGGCACTTCCATAATGTTAATAAACAGCTTGGAGTGAGTAGAACAGTGTCGAGGCAGGACCTCTTTGTGATATGCCATCAGTGTGAATTGAAATGTAAACAGGACAAAGCAATCTAGAGAAGGTCTTTTGCGCTGTAGTACAGTCGATCCTGGATATTTAAAAACAGTATACTTTCTTGGCTCTGGCATGCTGCAGCACTCGATGTAACGTATGTTTTGCTGTGCGGGGGTTAAATATACGTGTGCACCAGCCCAACAGTTATTCATGGGAAGTTCAAGAAGTGTGGAAACTTGGGCTAGTTGGTGCGTAGTCATATTGCAAGATGTTTCAGCGCGCGAACAAAGGAAAAAGGACAGGGTAGACAGAAAGAGTGCTGACTTCCAACTAACTTTATTTGACAGAGTGCCAAGAATATATACTGCTAAAAAGGATGATAACAGAGCATGAAGGTGCATCTATGTCGGGCAAACCGGCAGGTGCATAAATGACCGCCTCCGAGAACACCGAAACAATGTGCACAATGTGGTACAAGGGCATCTTGGCATTCATTGCCGAGATTGTGGGTGCACCCCTCTCTTTGATCAGTGCTCAATATTGGCAAGGCACAGGGATCAGCTTACCCGAGAAATTATTGAAGCCGAAAAAATACACTTGCTAGGAGATAAATGTGTAAGCACATCATCGATTGCTTTATCACAGGCTGAACGTGATTACCTAGCTGGGCTTTGAGGCAATAGAGGACCTTTCACACGTGTTTGTTACTGATGTGTAGATTAGGCGTGCCTTTACCTTCATGCTCTGTTATCATCCTTTTTAGCAGTATATATTCTTGGCACTCTGTCAAATAAAGTTAGTTGGAAGTCAGCACTCTTTCTGTCTACCCTGTCCTTTTTCCTTTGTTCGCGCGCTGAAACATCTTGCAAGTTCAAGAAGGTTTCGCGACTGATCGGTGTAGCCTATAATTGGATATATCCAGGATCAACTGTATACGAATGTGTGCCGTTGCATTCCTGCAGGTGTGTTTACTAAATGTTGTGGTCATTAGCAATACATTTAGAAAACTGATCATGCCATTGTTACGTGTGCCAGAAAATGTAGGTGCAAGAATGCATGTTCTAGTCTATGCTGACTTGTTTGCCTATGAATTTATAGTGATATTAAGTGTTAGGACTGAAAGTGGGTGTTATTGTCTTCCTGTTGAGCCATGACTCAAATGGGTTTGTGTACTTAGCCAAGTTTTACGAGATGACATCGAGTTCTTGAAGTCTAATGTTTTATTTCCAGTGTACATATCGATTCAGCATTGGGTTCAGTCCTTACAAGGTCATCAACACATTGTCTAGTTGCTCATTATTGTCTAATAAAGCGCATGAGTAGCACCTAATCAGTTAATTTTCATATGCATGTAGGCAGTGTAATGTACTGTTTGCTCTGGCAGTTCATTCTTGTTCGGAAGGACGGAAGGGAGGCTGAAGACAAGTGCCTTAGGTTGTGGTTGCAAAGAATTCTTGAAAACTGGAAATTTTCTAAGCATTTGCAGCATGCATTGTTTTCTTTCCTTTACAGCCTTTCAGGGCATTCTTTTTACTCTCCGCTCAGACACCCAGGGGCCAGAATTGATTCTTTTGTAAGCGATTATGTAGCGCAGGAATATTGTAGTAAGTGGCTTGTATCACCATTGAAGACGCACAAACTTAACAGTACAAAGGCTGTTCATTGTTATATCCGATGTATTGTTAAAAAAGGTGTCTTTTGACTGTGGGTTTGACTGCACAGTGTAGTCCGCAGATGGTCAAACACCTCCATTAATGAATTATGCAGACTGCAGTTATCTCTGTCTCTCTCTCTCTCTCTCTCTCTCTCTCTCTCTCTCTCTCTCTCTCTCTCTCTCTCTATCTATATATATATATATATATATATATATATATATATATATATATATATATATATATATATATATATATATATATATATATATATATATATATATATATATATATATATATATATGGATCCCAATTGAGGGAGGCAGCTCATGGGAAGAGTGGGAAGAGTGTAAGTTGATAACTGGACTCGAACATGAAATGCTGTTGAAGCCTTTAGCAACATTCTTTGTTCAGGCACAACTACCCACCTTAAAGGTGGACTGAATCTTGCATACATTGTTGACTGTTTTGTTCGCTCAACTATTTGTTAAACACAGTGCAAAAACAATGCACGTAAACAAAAAAAAAAACAGCGCTCATTGATGTCACTGTGTATGGCCATTGTTTCCGCAAGGTTTTTTTGCGATCAACCAACTAAGCTCGCGTTAGCAACCTTGTCAAGTTCAGCACTGTGTTGAGACTCAAATCAGCACTATGGTTCACAGAAATAGATTGAATATCCATTTGCAGGGTGTAAATAGCCACAGTTGCAGGGCGAAAATTTGGGGAAGCATGGCAGTAGGCATTACGTATTCTTCCATTCATCTTACATTCAAACAAGTATGCTATAGAGGAACTATGGCAATGTGTTTATGGTTAAGTCTTCCCAAGTAACTGTAGAGTGTGAGACCGCACTTGTTTCAGCAGACTGCTTTGCAACGCAGGCTCACAGTATGTGTTGAAACATAAGAGCATTCGTACAACTACATGGCTGATTGGTTGATTCCATTTGTAGCTTCCAACCCGAATGCGCATAAAGCGTAGTGCTGTTAAATGACTCGTAACGATCCCACACATGACAGATCTATCAGTTAGAGGTTTCGACGTTTTTGTTGCCTTGCATGTTTGCGCTACGCTGTGGTAAGTGCAAGCATTATAATTATTTTTCCTTGGGTTTCTCATTAACAAAGGCAACTCTGTGGCTCAATTGAATGATGCAATTAAAAATCAAGGCGGTACCTGTGCAAACTGCACAACCTAGTGAATGCCTGAAGCTAGTGTCAGACAGGGAGCAGTCAGGTGGAAGTCTAGCTACTTTCATCCTGAGATGATAAATGATATGCTTCTTTGATGATATGTTTATTGATTGGAGTACAATTCCAGCATCGATAGCCCCCTTTAAAGGCAGTACTGCTTTAGGTAAAAATGAGAACCTGATTAAATCATGGCAGCACCTCTGCAATGGTTAATTTTATTTGTGGTGAAGACGGCTGTGATGTTGATCCTAAGTTTTACTTATTGAATATTGATGCTTTGTGCTGGTGATTGTGTTGATGTGGTGTGTATGTAACATACTGGTTAAAGTTCTGCAGAATTTGTGATGCTGCTTGTTAAGTCAATATAGTAGGGTTCACAAATGTGTAGCTACAGAATTTTACACAGCTGCAACATTTCGCCAACAGCCAACTCCCTATGTTCTTATGTGAGAGGTTCAAGTGCACCGATTTAGAAAAATATGTAGCACTTATAGGAAACCGTCTGATTTACTGATTACAAGAAGTACATTTTTGAATTCATTTCTCAACTGCATGAAGTAATATTTGGTGTTTATGCGAAACTTGACAACTGTCACCAAAACCTATGAATAAGTTACTGTAAGTTTGATCTTTGTTACTTTTTATTAAAACAGATGATATTGTCATCTTGCTTTGTAGCATACCCACATTTAATAAAAAGGACTTCTGTAAAATTCAGATAATATGGTAGCAAGTCATACACAGTGCAATCATAGTTTTGTCTGTCAAGCACTTCAGATGTGCGTTCAACAACTTTAATTTCTATGAGTTGCATATGTGTAATTTCAAAATCTTCCATTTCTTCATTGGACTTGAACATTCTCTTTGAAACAACTAAAAGTTTATTTGGAATTCGGCAGTCATTTCTTAACAGAATTTCTGTGGTCACTCTGTTCATGAATGTACATATTGAAGGTCTGCTATGGTTTTTAAGTTGGGAACAAAGTTTAAAGAGTTTGTACTGTACATGAATATACTTGGGAGTGCAAAACACATGAAGTACACAAGAACTAGACAAGACAAGTGCTCACTTCAAAGTGAAGTTTGTTTACAGAAAGCGGCATGAAAATACAAACTTACAACTGATAAACAGGTATCACCTCAAAGATAAAAACCATAACAAAAACAAAAGCCACCTTTAGTGTATGACGGTCACAAAGCTAATGTGAAACAAGTGTGGTCCTGTCTAGTTCTTGTATATTTCATGTGTTTTGCTCTTCCAAATACCTTCAAAGGTTTTTAAGCTGAAAGTATTGTAATTTGTAAATTGTAACATTTTCTTGTGTGTGTGTTTGTAGTTAGCTAAGTGTCAGATTCCCTCCCCGTTTTAAATAATAAATTTCTTTTAGGAATGTAGTAAATTGTGTAAGTTCGAACTATGCATGGAAAAGCAAGTTCTACTTGACAGTGTTATGCCACCGTGTGAACGAAAAATTTATCACTTCCATCATAGACTAACTTTTATGATTCCTTGCTGTTGCTGCCTTTGTCTCATATTTTACAGTAACTTTTGCAGTACCCATTTTTCTGTGATGTTTATTCTATATTTTTGTATGTTGCTCTCATCAGCCATGTATGCACTGCTTATATGCTTGCCATTGTTCTTTCATTAGTTTACCAAATTTGTAGTCCTCTTGCCGTTACACAGGCCTAGCAGAAAATGATCTCTAGTATCTTGACACTACCTAATACTCACAGAGTCACATGTTACTGCTGTTCACCCCTTACTAACTTGGCCTCAGTTAACTATACTTATCATTCAAGTGTAATGTGTCTGAGAGTCCTGGTGAGACACCATAAATTGCTATGAAGGAAAAATTCTTTCAGTAGGACTGGGAATATATGCAGCTTCATTTAATAAAGCTTCAATGGCACTCTTTTATATGTACATGGGTCGCAAAAGAAAGCACAAGATAGTTGGTGAACAGCGATTTTTCTTCTGTATTTTGTTAAAAATTTGTGAGCGCTAATATTGTTGGGTACTGTAAGCAACTGATATACGACGATATCGACAAAAATTTGGCATTCGAATATTGGGGCAGTGAACTTCAGCATTCTTTGCCATGCGCTGGTCCAGTCACACTTGGAGGAGCAA